CCCCCCTTCCACTCGGCCGGCGCGTATGTAGAAAACCAATAGGTCCGGCGAGGGCTAAGCAAGTTTTTGACATCGTACAGCAATATCAATGGCACCATCGTGCTCCTGAGCTCCAACTACATCTAATAGGCACCTTTTTTATGAAAAAAATTATATTTTCTAACTTTGCCCTTTTCTGACTTGAAAGTGACCTGATCTCCGGTAAATGCAGTTGAAAATAACCTCAAATGACACAGACGACATTGTTTTCGAAATCTACGAGTAAAATGGACCATAAAACTTGCGTCACGTGACCGATACATGATAAACAATTTTCGTGACCTAGGATGGCCTGGCCTTGACCTAAAAATTCGAAGTAAAAGTTCGGTACCTTCAAGGTATCTAACCCGCGACCTGGTGGGGGGGCTATTTTTTGCCCCCCCCCCCTCCAGACTTTTCGATATATCTCCAGAACCGCTGCGCCGATCGTCACCAAACTTTCAGTACCCTCCCGGACATCAATTTTACACATTGTGACCAAAATTTTTTCCAAAGGCTATGATAGGTTGGCCGGAAATGACGTCAGAGTGACGTCATGTTCTGCCGTGTTCGACCCAAGAAAGGGTTTCGCGGGAAGAGCTGTCAGGCCTATAGCTTTGCAAATACAGAAAAATGATCAGACATAAAAGCTATAGATTGGACAGGGCTACAAAACTGCTATCTCGGATTTTTGAATTTTTTGGATTTTGACCCACAAAAATCAAAAAATATTTTTTTTTGATATGATAATCGAAAAATCCAAAACGTTTTTTGAATTTCGCAAAAAACCGGAATATATGTGATAGTCCTTACCACCTTCCATCCACATACCAAATTTGAGATTGATACCTCTTTTTTGGCGAAGTTATAGCGAAAAAACTGTTCAAAATTGATGACGTCAAATTTTCAAACTCAATTTTTAGCAATTCTAGACCCCGTAGCGCAAAACAAAGACCACCATTAGACTCCCCGTGACGAGCTGCATCGAATCAATACCCATTTTATGCAAAACTATCAACTTTAAAATTTGACCTTTTTTGGCCTGACCTTGACCTCAACTTTACCAGAAAGTGACCTAAGCCGTACCTGATAGTCTTATAACCAACACCATTGAGTTGGAAATGAAAAATTGGCCATAAAACATGTATCACACAACCTTAGTAAAGTTGGGCTCATGTGACCTGACCTGTGACCCTTGGTGACCTGACCTCTGACCTGACCTGGTATTGCCAGTGACCTCTAATAGCAACATATCTACTAGGCAACTGACGCCCTACCACTGATTCTCGACAAAATGCGTTTTCCTCGGTGTTATAGCGCATTCCCTAGAAGACCCGTGAACGGTGAAACGTTTCATCTTTGACCTGACCTGTGACGTCATCGGTGACCCCGAGGTCAATGAAATTTGGTTTCATTCGATAAATTTGACAGGCCTTTCGAACGCCGTTTGAATTTTGCGGATCCGTCCAGTAGTTTCGGAGATACGAGGGGGGGGGCAAAAAATAGCCCCCTCCCCCCCCCCCCCCCCCCACCACCAGGTCGCGTTATAAACAGACCCCACCAGGGCGCGGGCTAAGGCATATATCAAGGAGTGCATAAACCAGGGGTGCGGAGCCGGAGCCGGAGCCGTCGGAGCCGGCACATTTTTGCCCGGAGCCGGAGCCGGAGACAGAGCTGCCATGACATTTCCCCGGACTCCGGAGCCGGAGCCGGAGCCGAAGCCGATTTTATTTCTCCGAAGCCGGAGCCGGAGCCGAAGCTGTCTGAAATCTCCACGGCTTCGCAATCCGCATCCCTGGCGTAAACCAAAAATGAGCCTGATCGGACACGCCCGCCGGCGGTCAAAGTCTAAATTGTGAACAAGCAAAAATTCTGATAATTTTTTCTTTGACCTGAAATGTGACAACATTTATGACCTCGAGGTCAATAAAAATAGGTTACGCTCGACAGTATTTCCAGGGCTATCAGACGCCGTTTGAATTTTGACAATCGATCCAGTCGTTTCGGAGATAGGAGGGGGTTCTGGAGAGCCCCCCTCAGTCATTCGCGTTATGGAAAATACCCCAGTCATGCGTGGTCCTTCCATCCAGGCGGTGGGGGGGGGGGGGCCCGGGGGGGCATATCTTTGCCCCTCCTTAGATTTTTGGATATTTCTCCAGAATCGCGCGCCGATCGTCACACAAACCTTCAGTACCCTCCCGTGAATAGCTTTTACACACTGTAACCAATCTTTTTTCCAAAGGCTATGATAGGTTGGCCACTAATGACGTCGGAGTGAGGTCATTTCTGCCATTTTCGACCCAAAAAGGGTTTCGCGGGAAGAGCTGTCAGGCCTACAGCTTTAGGGATACAGAAAAATGTTTCGACATAAAAGGTGTAGAATCACCAGTACTACAAATTTGTAACTCCGATATTTGACGTTTTTGGATTTTGACCCCCAAAAATAAAAAAATGAATATAATAGCCGAAACATCCTAAAAGTTTTTTGAATTTCGAAAAACCGGTATTAACCCGCGCCGGGCCGGGGGCAGGGGTGTTTGAACACCCCCCCCCCTGTGGTTTTTGGCACACCTGTTCGTGTATCATTTCCGCACATGTTTATAAAATTTCAGACCCAGGTCACCCTAGGTCAGGTCACCAGGTCACGCCAAGTGACCTCACCTCAGACAAAATAAGAATGCTCGTCATAGCTACACCGATTGATCGATTGCCTTGAACCTTTCAGCGATTGATTAGAGCAACATTATCTATAAAATGTTTATCTCGGAATTTTGATATCGGTGACCTAAGGTCAGGTCATTTTTGCGGCCTCTCCATTATAAGTCAAGGGGAGAAAATTGAAAAGCGTCTGTTTTGCACGAACGCTATTCTAGACAATCTCAAACATCGAAATGTAGGCAAAATTGACACACTGAACCAGAAAATGGCAACTGTGACCCCTCGTTATGTCCCCCAGGTCATCTCAGGTCACGAACAGAATCAAACGTTTTTCGCTAATAACTTTTGATAGAGGCGTGCTAGAGCGCTGAAAACGCCTTAGATGTGTTTGGCTCGACGTTGCGGATCGACTGATATGCAACATTACCTTTTCCGGTCAGGTCATGACCTTGACCTGAGGTCAAATTTTCAAGTTGACCTTTCAAGGTCAACTTATAGTTCATTCGACGCGTCTCGACGAGAGGAACACGATGCTGGCAAAAGTAATGTCATGACTCATGGCTCTTTCGAGTCAAAAGTCATTGCCGAAAAAAAAAACGATTTTCGTAAAAACTGCTATTTTGGGGTTTTTTGCCCTCTGGAGGCTAAACCGTTGACCTGAGGTCAAATATGAGAACATTACTCAGAAAGGTCTGTAAAAGGCTATCGAATGCGCTTTTCCGTGGCGCTGTAGCTCTATCGGTTCCCGAGATAGCCGTTGGCAGTTTCCAAAATGTTGAAATAGTCAACATTTTACCTTTGGTGACCTCTGGTGACCTGACTTTTGACCTGACCCAAAAAATTACCGAAGTGTTTTCGTTCTTATTTTGGACGTTCTTTCGATTGCCGCTTACCGCGTGTCGCTACGTGGCCCAGGAGCCGAGTTAGAAGGGGGGGGGGGGGTGTTCAGACATCCCCCCACGGCCCGGCGCGGAATCTCAGAGCACCGGCCCGGCGCGGGTTAATGTGATAGTCCCTACCGCCTTCTATCGACATACCAAATTTGAGATCGATGCCTCTTCTTTTAGCCAAGTTATAGCGAAAAAAAAAACGCTCAAAATTGAAGACGTCAAATTTTCAAACTACATTTTTTTTTAGCAATTCTAGACCAGGTAGCGCAAAACAAAGACCACCATTAGACTCGCCGTGACGAGCTGCATCGAATCAAGACCCATTTTATGCAAAACTATCAACTTAAAAATTTGACCTTTTTTTACCTGACCTTGACCTGACCTCCACCAGAATGTGACCTAAACCATACCTGACGGTCTTATAACCAGCACTATTGAGTTCGAAATGAAAAACTGGCCATAAAACATGCATCGCACAGCCTTAGGAAAGTTGGATTCATGTGCTGACCCTTGATGACCTGACCTGTGACCTGACCTGGTGTTATCAGTGACCTCTAATATCAACATATGTACTAGGCAACTGACGTCCTATCGCTGATTTTCGACAAAATGCGTTTTACTCGATGTTATAGAGCATTCCCTAGAAGACTCGTGAACGGTGAAACATTTTGTCTTTGACCTGACCTGTGACGTCATCAGTTACTCCGACGTCAGTGAAATTTGGTTTCCATCGACAAATTCGACAGGGCTATCGAACGCCGTTTGAATTGTACGGATCTGTCCACTTGTCCAGTAGTTTCGGAGATACGGGGGGGGGGGGGGCAAAAAATTAGGTGGCCGGGAGGCCCACCACCTGCCGGGTTAAGGGGTACCACAAGTGTCACATTCATGCTAGTCATAAAAGAAGTCTCATGGTATGGAGTACACAAGTGTTCCTCACTTATTCCATCGAACCACAGAGATATGGGACCCCGGGTGACCGAAGGTCGAACAAAAAAAAAACACTGAGGAAAAACTGAAAGCTTCTTAACCCTCGCCGACAGAGGCCATTTTGCGTCCTTCGATGGCACAGGGGGGGGGGGGCGGTAGGTACGGCCCCCTCACGTTTGGCCCCTGATCGAGCTATTGATCAGTTGATTTTCCCTCATGGACATTCCATGGACATCGAATGTCCATGGAATGTCACTGGATTGCTCATGGGAAACAATGTGATATTTTCGCCCAAATTTGTCCTTAGAGCTGCCGCTCGAGCTCAGAAATCCGATATTCTAATCGTTTTTATGTGCAACATCCAGAACTGGCATTTCAGTTAGAAGCCATCGTAACCCTACAAAATCAATTGAAAAATAGAAACATGAAAAGCTGTATAAGCTTCTGACTTTTCAGACATCAAACTGAGATGCTCTAATGAGGCTGTGATAGACGGGCACCTACCTTTCCGGGGCGCGGCGGCACGGCGACTCAACAGCTGCTCGGTCCGACTGGGAGCCACGCCGACTGAGAGCCGGCACTCGGCGGTGACGGTCAAAACGACCCCCCCCCCGCCGGGGGACGGGGGGGGGGGGCGAGCGGAAACCCGAGTGTTTAGCTCATTCCGACTGATTGGTAACAGACGCGGCAGCCTTGGAAACGCAGCACACGCGACGGGACGACAACCCACGGAGAAAACCATGGACACACTGCAGAAAACAGAGGCATTGGAGAACATGGAGATCCTACTGCAGAACATGGAGGTACCTGCTGCATAAATCGTTCCAGACGATACTAACCAGAAAATTGCATATTTAACCCATTTATGCCCAGGAATATTGACCATAATGAAAATCGACGAAATCAAAATATGTTATGCTCCCACCAGGGCCTTGCATGGAACCGAAAATAATTTTTGCCTGCAGGAAAAGTTTTTCGAGAAAAACGTAAAAAACATGCGTTGCGAAATCGCAACGAAGGGCACACCGGGCGCCATCAGCGTTGCGAAAACGCAACGACGGGCACATCAGACGGACATAAAGTACACTGAACTGCCGTATATGCTAATATGTTTTGACAAAACATCAATCAACTGTTGACAACTATTGCTTGAAAATGCGGAACCCACATCCGTCGTGCTCTATAACCCGCCTAAGAGCCTCGGTGAGGAAGCATAACTTCATGATTCGCGAACGGGGAGATGGCAACACGGTCATTATCAACCATTTACGTTGTCCATTGCTGTTCATTTAAAGTTGTGGTCGACACGTATCCAGGGTGATGCTTTCTTTTTGGAAGCTAGACAGAGCCATTACCCCCACCTATCAGACCCCACACTGAATAAGTGAATACAATTAAACGGAGGATTGGGAGTAAACCAGTGCCTCACGTATGCGCGTATATCCGCAATCATTGTTAACCACCCTCCTAGGAGTAAAGCTAAATTCCATTGCAGGTTAGTCGTACCCACTCTCAGCAAAAAGAAAAAAGGACCGATCCGGCTCTAACAAATTACCCGCGTAAGGTATAGCGCATCACAACAAATCGACTCCCAGTTTATCATGTTTACACCTAATCCAAAATTTTCATGGCCCCACTCTCAGCGACCTTCACGTGTAACCTCTTTCTCGAGACAATGCCAGGACAGAATGGTGATTCGACGTCAATCCGTCCTTTCCATCTTCAGGATAGTTGAATCCTCCTCCACGCCTCAACCCCCTGTTCCGGGCTGGACCGGCAACGTATATCGCAATCGGGCAGCGGAGCGCGCCTGTAGCCGGGTGCAGTGAGTGCTTGGGAGGGGGAAGGAGGTGGGTCATGGGTGGCCTGCCCACTGGCTGGGCTCAGTCTCCAGTCTACGATTAACCGTGTCCGGTCGGACAAATGTCTCCCCTAATTCCAATAATCCTGCTAGCTCTAAAAATGGTCTGATTAGATAAAAAGCTTATCAAAGTAAGAAAACAAGCGTATACTCCACATCAAGCAGCTTATGAATCTATGCGAGTTATGAATCCTAAAAACTATTATTTTTCCAGGTCCGCCCTCATTACCCCTGCCGAAGGGCTCAGCTACCCCCAGAGGGGGCCTATCCCACTATTTACCGACCCTCAGTTATCTTTTCTAACGTAAATGTTGGTAGTCAGCAGTTTCTATCCAGAGAATGGCGATGCCTAGTTATCTGTCGCCTAATACCAGAATACGTCCCCGTTATTCATTATTTATGCACAATGTACATAGTAGATCCAATTTCCAAAGGACCTAATTATCTCTCAGCTCCGTTAGCATCGCCGACCGTTTGATGCATGGGTCCTTTTCCTACCATGTGATTTTCAGATGCATGGGAACACATTGCTTGGTGAACGAACAGCCCGAGGCCGATAATCTGCGAGAGAAAAAGAAAGGAGTGTTTGTGGCTGTTTGAGCCAGCAAATATGAAATGTGTCGCAACATTTTACGTGCGAACGCACCTTGCACTAAACATACCTATCCTATACACGTCCCTCGTGGCATAGGCGGCGGAGCGGGGGGGGAGGGGGCACCAGAACACCGTGCCCCCCTTGATTTTGCCATTTTAACATTAGGTATCCCTATAGGCGTTGCATGGAAATGGAAATGGAAAGAATGGGACCAAAAGTCGGCAGTGCCCCCCCCCCCCCCTTAATTGAAGATATTCCGCCGCTACAGCCTCATGGCTACAAAATGAAAGAGAGAAAGAGAGAGAGAGAGAGAGAGAGAGAGAGAGAGAGAGAGAGAGAGAGAGAGAGAGAGAGAGAGAGAGAGGGAGAGAGAGAGAGAGTTGGGGAACGAGGAGGAGAGGGAGGAAGATGGGGGAGAGAAAGAGAGAACCCACAGCGTATCACGAGTGAAGTCTACTGTTGATATTCATACTTCCGCTACCCTGCCGATGTGCCCATCGTTGCGTTTTCGCAACACCGCTGTCTTTCCGATGTGCCCTTCGTTGCGTTCCCGCAACGCGACCGTAGTCATATTTGAAAATAGTCACAAACCCTTTTTGTAGCATTATTTCTTAACAAAACGCATATCTACGCTATTGTAGGGACTCTGCAGAATATGTTTACACAATTTTCATTACGATATTATTAAGCACTTGGCCTACTCATCTTGGTTTTCGTGACGTCATCAGTCACAAAACCTTCGACTTCCCTCTGGGAGCTCTAGGCAGTAACTTACCGGCCGCACTGACTTGTAACTGCGTAGCATCATGCGCACAACCATGCTACACACGCTGAAACTTGTCTCGTCGGTTAGTCTCTTTTACACACTTCTCAAGCTTCGATTACGTCGACGCTTGCTTGCGTTGCGAAAACGCAACGAAGGGCGTAAATGGGTTAATAAGAATTTTCTGAGCATTAGAATTTAGAAACGTATCCCGCCACTCAGTTTGAGCCCAAAATGCTCGGAATTTCCCGTGTTGTAGGTATAACTCTCATTGGCGCAGGATGGACGCTTTGCCCCACACTAAAGTGGGCGTATTACCCCAACAGCACATTCAAAACAAAGACCACTAAAATCAAGCCTGTCACGATTGTGTCACAAACAAATAAACGCTCAAAGCATAGCTTAAAAATACACAGGCTCGACATGACAAAATTTCATTGCCTTCTTTAAATTTTATCACACACAGTTTTAGCAAAAAGAAAGCATGTACCTACTTAAAAAAACGAAATATACCTATCTTCCTATGTTACGTTCAGAACAACCCACTTGTGGAACCAAAAACAAGGAGTACCTACAAGCAGATTCCCCTGTGTTCTTGAAAATGGCTATCAAGGAATCTTTGAAAAGTCTAGCATTTCACAAAGTAGAGGGATGGACGTTTTACACGCCCAGGGCGCTTTGCCCCACTCTACCCTACATAGGTATTACTAAAGAGACTGAGCTGAGCCGAGTGACTTAGGTACAACGATAAAACTGTATCTAGAAACAACGAATATAATTTTTTTTTAATTTGACATACTCGCAGCCCGCAGGATTCATCCATCAGACCCGGCATGTCGGCCCGGGCCGACCTGTGGACCCCCCCCCCCCCCTCCAAAAGAAACTTTAGCCTAGATCCGCCCTTGCCGGGGTCCCGGCAAGGTTCCCGGGGCACAATGCCCCGGTTTACCCCCCCCCCCCCCGTTCCGCCGCCTATGCGCACGGCCGGTCGGCGGTCCCCTCATTGACTTCGGCTGTCTACGGTCTGCCACCGTCTGCAACCATACCCGCCAGGAGGCTCATAAATACCTATCGAGCGCCGGTCGCGCTTCGAACCCGGACTTATATTACCCGTTTTCACGACGGCCATCTGGTACACATTTGGTGCACATCTGGTACAGATTAGGTGCAGATTTGGTCAAATCAGGTTCAGTGTGCTGTGTGCCTCTTAGCAGTTATCAGCTAGGGTTGCACTAATTGCTTATATGCCTGCTTTGTCATATTATCAGAGAGCATCATCGATTAACCCGCGCCCTGGTGGGGTCTGTTTATAACGCGACCTGGTGGGGGGGGGGCGGCTATTTTTTGCTCCCCCTCGTATCTCCGAAACTACTGGACGGATCCGCAAAATTCAAACGGCGTTCGAAAGCCCTGTCAAATTTGTCGACGGAAACCAAATTTCATTGACCACGGGGTCACCGATGACGTCACAGGTCAGGTCAAAGATGAAATGTTTCGCCGTTTACGGGTCTACTAGGGAATGCGCTATAACCCTCGCATGTGTAGGGGGGTCGGATGGACCCCCCATGGTTTTTCGCGAATAACTCGCGTAAAAAGCGGCCGATCGCGACGAAACTTTCAGTACCCTCACATTGATCAATTTTACACCTACCCTGAAAATTTCATGACCCTGACCCAAATGACCTTTGACCTGTGACCTCTTTTCCGAGACCATGTTTGGCCAGAATCGCGATTCTGCGTATGTCGGCTCGCATTAGCCGCGCGTTTGCAAGCTTTTCGTGGTTTCAAACGTTCAAACATGTGATTTGATGCTGCTTCCATGCATTAGGGTGGGTGTCAAGGTCACCTGAAGGTCAGGTCAGGTCATTGACCTTTGGTGACCTCGGGTGACCTCGGTTCACTTTTTCGAGCTGTACATGTTTCTAGGCTAGTTTTTGGAGCTGAATTCGAATTTAGCAACCATTTGAACATTTACGAAGTAGTTTTGGTGCCTTCGTAACATGTTACGAAGCTGTCAGAGGCGGTTGACACGTACTACGAATACCCGTCACGACGCCTACTGGTTGACCTGACCTGACCTGACCCGACCTGGTCTAACCCTATTCCTGGCGGGCTCCGCCGGGACAAGAAACTGGCGGGGGGGGCCGATTCGGCCCCCCCTGAGATCTCGAGAACGAAGCAAGATAGCGACAAGCGGTAAACGGCATCGGATACGCACGGCCAAGATCTACAATTTTTACAAAGGTCATTTTCAGGTCAGGTCAAAGATGACGTCACAGGGGTTGAAAAAGTCAAAATGGCGGCGCTAGATATGGAGAGAGTTTTTCTCGAATAACTTTCGAATTAGTC